CTGAGAGTTGCGATTCCATTTCTGGTTCTGTCCGCAAGCATCGAAGAGGGAGTAGAGGAGGAGGAGCCGTGTGCAGACTCTCCTCTGCACGTTCCAAGCTCAGCCGGTAGTTATCCAGCTTCCACCATCACCAGCTGCACCCACTACAACCCAACCAGAACCAACTTACCGCGCTTGAGGAGAAGAGCCGAGAGGAAGGAAAGAAAATTTCCAGATTTTGTGCGTGTGAGATTAGTGGTTATCTGAGGTAATTTCTGGGCTAACTAAGTCATTTAATAGTAGATGAAACCATATCAGAGCATGCAAGAGTGGATAGTGCAGCCGGCTGATGAAATTAAACCATTAGAAAATTCTGTTTTGGATGTTGATGTTCCAGCCGAGAGCTGAGAAGAAAATGAACTCCTATTTCTGATTCCCTGTGATAATCTGAGCACCTAAGTGCACTTAGCCAAAGGAAAATGTAATGATCAAGACCATGCATGTTGATTTGTGCCTTCGGATGACATGGTTAAAGTATACAGAAATTCTGTTTTAGCTAGATGTTCATGCCGAGAGTTTAGTTTGATTTTGTAGCTTGATTGGGTTTAAGTTTGATAACCTGAGCATGAAATGTTGTATATCTCACTGGATCTTGGATGATCATTATGATTAGGACCTTGCATGATCAAGTCATGTAGTCGGATGAAGAAAAGAAAAAAAAAAAAAAAACTTAGGAAATTTTGTTTTGAAGAAAAAAGTTTCTGCCGAGAGATAATCTGGATAATGTAGCTTCATTTTGGTTTAGTTTTCTGTTTTGGAGCCTCTAACCTGTATTAACTAGTAAATGTCAAGATGATTAAGCTAGGCATGGAGTTAATTAGTTAGTTGAACCAGAAAAATAAAATCTAAAGTGTAACCTGTCGCATGCATGTTCATCTCGTGACCAGCTGGACAAATTTCTGGATTCTTGGATATTGGAAGTGTTATTTGAATTCGAATTCTAAACCAGAAATGCTAAATAGCTAGCCAAAAGTGCACAGGATGAATTTGAGCTCCTAATATCCGGCTTAACCCAGGGAAAATCTGGTATTAGAACCATTTGTATTTCTGGAAATCTTGAGAGAAGCCGTGAGGTTTAAACCTGGAAATTTTGGGGTTTGTAACCATGGTTTAAATTCAACTCTTAAACCGGAAATGTTCATTGTCTTGCTATGTGATTAAATGCTGAATTTGAGTAACTAACACCATGATTAAACCAAGGGAAAAATTTGAGCTAAAGTAGATGAGTTGCTGGAAAATGCGGAAGCCGCAAGGTGAACTAGAAATTCAGTTTATTCTTGGAAGTTTGATTGATTTCTAGAATTTATTCTTGGAAACGCATGGAAAATGTTGATGTTAATGATTGTGGTTTGACCTATTGTGTTCCTGAAATTTTCAAAGAATTAGATGGTAAGAAGGTACTTGCTAAACGCATGCTTAAGTTTGGCTAGTGAAACAATTTCTACTCGCATTCCAATGACTGAAAAACTAATGGTTGAAATTATTTTTTTTCTTTTTCATTGGGGCAGAATGTGTTGAAATTATTGACAGTGGGCTCTATGAATTCCCACACTTGGATTTGTGGTTGAATTGTTGAAATTGTTTAGAAAGCTGTATCACCATTTGGTGAAGCGGTGAGTTGGTATAAGTGCTGTATACCAAGTGCTAAGTTTTGATTAAGCCTTGGTTAATTTTTCTGCGTGAGCTTGGAAATATATTTGTTGGAATACAGGGATAATATTTGAAGGAGCCTTAGTGTTATTATTGTTTAAGATATGATTGTGCCATGTTGAGAAATTGTGAATCCTAATGAGAATCGAAGCTATGGATTTAGCACTGACCAGGTGAATCCAAGCAAATACTCGACTAAGTAAATGAAAAATATTTTGCTCTAGTTTTGCACGATATAGTTTCAATATCGCCCGATAAAATCTAGTATTTAGTATTTTGCTTTAAACTGGGGCAACGTGAATCTTCTTCCTTGAATTAAACTAACTTTATTAATTCAAGAAAATGACTTTTCTAGATATAACACCTTAGTTTTGTTTAAATTCTTTCTTCCTTATAAATGTTTCAAGTCTAGTTGGACACAAGAAAAATTTAAAAGGCGAGCTTTAAGTCACCTTAATTATAAACGCTGAAACTTGCTCGGCAAGAAAACCGTATATTCTTTTTAGCAAAATAACTCTAGTAACATTTTACAAGAAACTTTAATTTATAACCTTAGCAACTATTTTTGTAAGATCAGATCTTAGAGGAAATTTTCAAGGTATTTTCCTAGCCTTAATGCTTTATAGCTTGCCAATTTATTTTAAAGAAATTTGACAAATCGACCATCGAACTTTGATATTAAGTGGTTGCCGAAATTGTTGCAAGAAAATAATATTAGTTATTTTTTTTTTTGAAAAAGTACTTCAAGAAAAACTATAAGATATATTCGTCTACTTTTACCAATCCCCATTCCAATTAGATTGTTGAAATAATTTTGAGAAAAACAATCTAGCAATATGCAAGATAATTCTTCACTTGTATAAACCAAAACCTTAATAGAAAGCTTATAGTTCAAATTTTGATATTTTAGGATTCTACGAAGACGCAGAACTTGAACCCCAATTCGATATCTGAGCTACACTCTTGGTGAGTGTCCCTGTCTGTTTCGTGACTATGTGATTAAAGTGCTTTATCGGATTGTTATGTGATAATTGTCAAAAGTTGCTTTTGATCCATCGAAGTGAGCAGTGTGTACTTTATCGCACTAGCCGTTCGAGTGGTGACTTGTGTGGAACGTTTTCTGTTGTGCTAAATGTTGCAACGTCGTTGGATAACTCCCTCGACATTCAGAATCGTTGCATATTTTCTCTTGTGCTTAAAATTGCAACGTCGATGGGAGAATCCTTCGGCATCCAGAATCGTTGCACATTTTTCTAAAATCCAAATTGCAACGTCGTTGGGTAAATCCCTCGACTCCCAGAATCGTTGCAATGTCGTTGGGTGAATCCCTCGACCAAAGAAAAGAAAAAAAAAAGATTATGTGCGAAGGGTATATCTCGAGTATACTTCTTCTTTAGTTGGCTGAGCGGGCCCGGGACAGGGGTATGAACGGTGACGGGTTAGGAGAAAATAAGAAAATTCTACAGGGACGTAAGTAGTGAGAGTTGACGGAGGGTCAACTATGACGAATGATGATCAAGCGAGGAATTGGCTCCTGAGAGCCCCTGTATCCTACCTTGTATTGTTACTCGCTTTCCTAATTGTTTATTTTGAAGTTTATATCTATTAAATGTTTATTTAGATGCATGTTTTGGGGCACCACTGAGCTTAGGCTCACCCCACGTTCTTTTGTTTTCCTTACAGGGTTCGAAGCATGAAAAGTTTAAGTTGCTTGTCTTTGTTACGGATGCTTGGGTGTTTGTGATTTTATGACTTTGGATTTGTAGTTTGTAACGTTTTCTTTTTCCTTGTAAACTTTAACTTGGGTTGCCGCTTGAAGCTGGAAAATGTGTGGGCCCAAGTATGACATTTGGTTTGTGCTTGTATTTATGTTACTCACGTTGGATTTATGCTTCGTGTACTTTCGTACGAATTTATGTATTCATCACAAGGATTGTATTTATGCATTTTGGACCGTTCGATTTTATGTTTTGTTTTGTCTTATAGGGCGCTTGTAGGATAGTTGAAGAGCCGTCGATTGGCTATTTTAAATTATTGTTATCACAGAAGTTAATGTGAAATCTTGAAGGAGACTATTCAGGATGAGTTGAGGTTGTAATAGATTAGTTTTTTTTTATTTTGAATTTGGAAGGTTTTTGGTTAGATTGCTTGCGTGAGTCCTGGCGAGAGCTGGGAAGACGGCCCGCCAACCCTTTGGTACGCCTCAGGGGGAAGTGGGGTCGCCACAAGTGGTATCAGAGCCTAGGTTAGATAAGTTATTTGGAAGACATATTAGAATCGATAGAAACCCTAATTCCTTTTTCTTTTAGAAGTAAGAATTTGGACCTTTAGAGATGCTTTAGGTAATAATCGATCACGTTAGCTATTTAAGTTTAACCTTTAAGTTTTGAATATTTTGCAGGTATGGAGAATGGTAACGAAGCAGCGAATGGTCATATAGAGCCACTTAGGTCGATCACTTACAGGCCTAGAAGTGGAGGAGACAGAGTTAGATACTCGCCCGCTGATAGGTTTCCTCGCTGCCAGTGCAGAGCTGTATATGCGTATCCAAACGTACTTGTATTATCCTTGGACGACGAGCGCCGCCAATTGTGGGACGCTAACTACACTCTTACTCAGGATGTAGAGGAATTAAGTATTATGGTAGACACCCAAATGGATAGGATAGCTGATTTGGAGGCTAGGCTAGCAGCAGAGCACACTAGGCTTGTGGCCGCTGATGCAGAGACTGCGAGACAGAGGGCTAGGGCGACTCGCTTGGCGCAGAGGATGCGTGACAGGAGCGCCGGCATTAGGGCCGATGCTTCCATGCTGATGAACGAGGCCGCAAGTTTCCTTCAAGGGAGCGAGCAGGCAGCCGCTGTGGGGAATTCGGAGGAGGACCCCGAGGAGGACCCCGAGGAGGATCCGGAGGAGGATGTTGCTCCGGATAACCCTACTGAGGGTTAGATTAGGCTTGATCGACTAGCACTACATAGGTAGGTTCAGAAAGAGGGACAGTAGTCAAGTCATTAAGTTTTGTCTAGGCAGATGACTTGCTTTAAGGCACCTATCCCTAATTTTCTGTTTAAGGGATTAGTCATATGTATATTTTTTTTTTTTTTTTTTTGACTAATGTGCCTTCCTTTTGGAATTGTCCCAACTCTGAATTGTATGGTTTTTATTGTAAATATATGTTAAGCATTTTATTACTATCTTCTCCACTTTACGTTGATTTTATGTACTAAGAGAATAATAATAATAATAATAATGACCACTATATTTCTCTCGCCTAACTGTCGTACCTCCCAACTTTAGGCATACACTAAGCTATGATTCGATCAGTAGTGGGAAGAGGTCGTGGGCGACCCACAAGGCAACACCCAGAGACGAACTATGAGAGAGAACCTGAGGTCAATCAAGACCCCAGGCAAGAGGGAGTGGCCGGAAATAGCGTGGCCACCGCGATCAATCGAATTACCGATGTCCTGGAACGCTTGACCGAAAATCAAGTCCCGGGACAAGCGCGCCATCAAGGAGGCCCCGCCGATTCGGAGGATCGGGCACTCGAGAGATTTCTAAAGTTTGGACCTCCCAAATTCTATGGGGGACCCGAACCAGAAATAGCTGAGGGCTGGTGGGAAAGAATCTCCGATATTTTCGCCGCCCTGAACTATGCCGAGGAAAGGCAAGTGACCTTCGCCGCATTTCAGTTCGAAGGAGCTGCTCGCTCTTGGTGGAACTTAGTGAAGGTCAATTGGGACAGAAATCACACTCCGAGGACTTGGGCGAACTTCACAAGGGAGTTCAATGCCAAATTCCTCCCGCCTCTCATTCAGGAGAAGAGAGAGGACGATTTCATTAAATGCAAGCAAGGGGCGATGAGTGTCGCCGAGTATGAAGTGCAGTTTACTAAGTTGTCACGATTTGCTCCTGAACTGATAGCTACGGAGCAAAGACGCGTGAGGAGATTTGTACAAGGTCTGAATGTGGAATTACAGGAAGGTCTAGCTGCAGTGAGGATAGACACGTTCGCAGACGCGGTGGAGAGAGCCCAAAGAATTGAGGTGGCTCGAGCCCATGTAAAATCTTTTCAGGCCAAGAAAAGATTTGCTCCAAGTAGTAGCCGGGAGCCGGCTTACGGAAACGCCACACCGGCCAAAGTGGGCCGAGGATCAAGCGTAGTGACCAGTCCTGGAACACCAAGAGGCGCTCTAGCAAGAGGAACTGGGACACGAAATATTGGGGGAAGAAACAATGGAGCACGGGGGGGATTTACCGGAAGAGCCCAACCTAGGAATGCCCCGCAAGTGAAACCTGGAACGACTCCCCAAACCATCTGCAGCTTTTGCAAGAAACCGGGCCATAGCATGGGTGGTTGCTGGAAGAAGCTAGGAAAATGCTTGAGGTGTGGAAGTGGTGAGCATCAAATATCCAGATGCCCAAGGATGCAAGAAAATGGAAACCAGAATACTGGACCGGCCAATCAGGGGGATAATAGGCCAACAGTTCCGGCTAGGGTATACGCCATTGAGGATCACCCTGTACCTGATTCCTCTGGAGTTATAGAAGGTACACTCCCAATTTTTCATCGACTAGCTAAGATGTTAATTGATCCAGGTGCAACTCACTCGTTTGTAAAACCTACATTCATGTCTGGAATCGATGTGAAACCTGTTAGGTTACCCTATGACCTTGAAGTTGGAACACCCATGGGTAATAAGAAAATAATCACTAGCTTAGTTTATAAGAACTGTGAATTCTGGATTGGAGAGCGTAAGATGCTAGTGGACTTGATAAGTCTGGATATGAAAGGATATGATATAATCATAGGAATGGATTTTCTAGCTCAACATCATGCTAAGTTAGATTGTAGGGCAAAAGTGTTGGAGTTGTGGATCCCCGGAGAAGCGATTTTGAAGTTAGATTTGAAGGATAGATTAGCTTCCTCTGCCATGATTTCGGGGATAAGAGCAAGAAAAATGTTGTATAAAGGAGCACAAGGATATTTAGCTTTCATGATTAACGCTCCTAGTGATCAGGTGAAATTAGAGGACGTACCCGCGGTACGGGAATTTCCGGACGTTTTTCCTGAGGAATTAAAAACGCTACCGCCGGAAAGAGAAGTGGAGTTCAAGATTGATTTGGTACCCGGAGCGGCCCCAATATCTAAGACCCCGTACCGAATGGCTCCTGCAGAGCTAAAGGAACTGAAGATTCAACTGCAGGACCTGTTAGAGAAAGGTTTCGTCAAGGAAAGCGATTCACCATGGGGAGCACCCGTTCTATTTGTCAAGAAAAAGGACGGAAGTTTGAGATTGTGCATAGATTACCGAGGGTTGAATGAGGTTACCATTAAGAACAAATACCCTCTACCGTTGATTGATAGCTTATTCGATCAACTGCAAGGATCAGTAGTATTTTCTAAGTTGGATCTAAGGCAAGGGTATTATCAGTTGAAGATCAAAAAGGAAGACATACCCAAGACTGCTTTTAGCACAAGATACGGACACTTTGAGTTCGCAGTCATGCCTTTTGGACTGACTAATGCACCAGCTGCATTCATGGACCTGATGCAGAGAGTCTTTAAGAAATATTTGGACCAATTTGTAGTAGTCTTTATAGATGACATTTTGATATATTCCAAGACTCATGAGGAGCATGCTAAGCATTTGGAGATGGTCTTGCAGATTTTAAGAGAGCATAAATTATATGCTAAATTCAGCAAGTGTGAGTTCTGGCTGGAGGAGATTTCATTTCTGGGACACAAGGTCTCTAAAGATGGAATTGCCGTGGACCCGTCAAAAGTTGAAGCCGTTACAACGTGGAAGAGACCAGAAACCCCAACTGAAGTTAGAAGTTTCTTGGGATTAGCAGGTTATTACCGTAGGTTTATTAAGGATTTTTCAAAGATTGCTGGAGCTATGACCGAGCTAACCAAGAAGGAAAAGAAGTTTATTTGGACTCCAAAGTGCGAGTCAAGTTTTCAGGAACTAAAAAAACGTTTAACATCCGCTCCTGTACTGGTGCTGCCCGATGGAGGAGAAGGCTATGCTGTATATTCGGACGCCTCGAAAGAAGGTTTAGGTTGCGTTCTGATGCAAAACGGTAAAGTGGTTGCCTATGCTTCAAGGAGATTGAAACCTCATGAGCAGAATTACCCAACGCATGACCTGGAATTGGCTGCGGTAATTTTCGCCTTAAAGAAGTGGAGACATTACTTGTACGGCGTAACTTTCGAAGTTTTCACGGATCATAAGAGCCTCAAGTACTTGTTCTCCCAGAAGGAGTTAAATTTGAGACAAAGGCGATGGGTAGAATTCTTGGAGGATTATGACTGCACGATTAACTACCACCCTGGAAAAGCCAACGTGGTAGCAGACGCTCTAAGCAGAAAGGCCCAAGTGGCAGGGTTAATGGTTAAAGAATGGGATATGTTAGAGGAATTAAGTTGTTGGAACCCTCACTTGGAGAAAGTGAAGGTTGTATTCGGGAATTTATCTTTGAGATCACTACTGTTAGAGCGTATCAAGGAAACCCAGAAGAAGGATCCCATAATTCAAAAGAATTTGGAGAAAATGCAAAAAGGGGAAGCCCTAGATTTCAAAGTTGGTTCTGAAGGAATATTAAGGTTCAGAGACCGAATCGTGATACCGGCAGATGAAGAAATAAGAAAGGAGATTTTAGAAGAGTCACATCGTTCGAGGTATACGATACACCCAGGGGTGACCAAGATGTATCACGATGTAAAAGGGTTATACTGGTGGGAAGGTTTGAAAAAGGACGTAGCCGAGTTTGTACAGAGATGTTTGACCTGCCAACAAATAAAAGCAGAACATCAGAAACCCTCTGGTTTGTTACAACCATTAGAAATCCCTGAATGGAAATGGGAACATATCACAATGGATTTCGTCACGGGATTGCCAAAAAGCCAAAAAGGGTTTGACTCAATTTGGGTAATAGTCGATCGACTCACTAAGTCTGCACATTTCTTACCAGTTAGCATGAGCTTTTCTTTGGAGAAATTGGTCAAGTTGTACACAGAAGAGATTTTAAGGTTACATGGTATCCCTGTAAGTATAGTGTCCGACCGAGACCCGAGGTTCGTCTCGCGCTTCTGGCAGAAATTCCAAGAATCTTTGGGGACCAAGCTGAAGTTTAGCACTGCATACCATCCCCAAACCGACGGACAGTCGGAAAGGACAATTCAAACTTTGGAGGATCTATTGAGGTCATGTATATTGGATTTTGGAGGAAAGTGGCATCAATACATGACCCTAGTGGAATTTGCTTATAATAACAGTTATCAGGCTTTGATTCAAATGGCACCTTATGAAGCTTTGTATGGGAGAAGATGTCGATCTCCGACCTATTGGGATGAAGTAGGAGAAAAGAAAGTTGTAGATCCTACAGTTATGCCATGGATAGAAGAAGCCCAGGAGAAGGTGAAATTAATTAGAGAAAGGCTTCAAATTGCACAAAGCAGACAAAAGAGCTATGCCGATACAAGAAGGAAGGATTTGGAATTCGAAATAGGAGACAAGGTTTTCTTGCGAGTTAAGCCTTGGAAGAGCGGAGTAGTATCAAAAAGGGGCAAGAAACTGAAGCCAAGGTACATTGGACCCTTTGAGATATTAAAGCGAGTGGGCAAAGTGGCATACCAATTGAGGTTACCCACAAGCATGGCCAAAGTTCATGACGTATTCCATGTATCCATGCTTAGGAAATATTACCCGGACCCAAGCCATGTGTTGCATCTGGAGGGAATTAAATTGGATGAGACGTTATCATATGAAGAAGGACCAGTTAAGATTATGGAAAAGGAAGTGAAGGAGCTAAGGAATAAGAAAATTCCTCTAGTAAAGGTTTTATGGAAGAACCATGGACTGGAGGAAGCAACTTGGGAATTAGAAGAGGAAATGCAGAAAAAGTATCCTGGTTTGTTTCAATAGAAAGTGTGAATTTTGAGGGCAAAATTCTTGTAAGGAGGGGAGGATGTGAGAACCCTGAAAAATGAATATATAAATTAGTGCATATTTTATTTGCATTTCTTTTAATGTTCAATAACTTCTAGCATTACTTTTAATGTTTCACAATTAAGTGTGTGAAAATAGATTTATGTGAAAAATAATATACTTTTCTAAAGTTATGAAATTTCTTGGTTTTATTTGACTATATTAGTGATAATTGAATCGTTAGATTTACTACCTTAAAATAAATTATTTAAATTCCAATGATAAACTCTGTTTAGCGCCTACGATAAATGTTAGATTTTTTTTTCTTCTCAAGGTCAAACTTGATTTTAATAAGAAACTAATAAAGTAAGAATGTTGGGAACCTTAATATTAAGTTGTAACCTATAAAAAATTCGATAAAAATGGGTTAGGTATATTAGGATATGATTAGACGTTCAAATCACTTTTGGGAACAATTTTTGGAGCTAAGCTAGGACCAAGGACTTAAGTGGCTAATTGGAGAAGTAGTGAAAAGTCTATATTACCCTCGCAGCCTCACAACATCAACCACGGCCATGTCCCTTTTCTGCAAAGCCAAACAGCCCCGGACACCATGATCACAACACCACCCAACCGGCCAACCACAACTTTCCCCACTGCCACACACCACCGCCCAAGCCTGGCCAACCACAACTTTCACCACTGCAATACACCATACCTGTCGACACTCAACCACCCTCAAAACCGCAGCACCATTCCACAATCTCAACCCATAACCTCTGCACACTTCCTACAACAGATAACACTCCACCATTTCATTGTTATCATCGACTGAGAGTGAGGAAGGAAGCTGAGAGTTGCGATTCCATTTCTGGTTCTGTCCGCAAGCATCGAAGAGGGAGTAGAGGAGGAGGAGCCGTGTGCAGACTCTCCTCTGCACGTTCCAAGCTCAGCCGGTAGTTATCCAGCTTCCACCATCACCAGCTGCACCCACTACAACCCAACCAGAACCAACTTACCGCGCTTGAGGAGAAGAGCCGAGAGGAAGGAAAGAAAATTTCCAGATTTTGTGCGTGTGAGATTAGTGGTTATCTGAGGTAATTTCTGGGCTAACTAAGTCATTTAATAGTAGATGAAACCATATCAGAGCATGCAAGAGTGGATAGTGCAGCCGGCTGATGAAATTAAACCATTAGAAAATTCTGTTTTGGATGTTGATGTTCCAGCCGAGAGCTGAGAAGAAAATGAACTCCTATTTCTGATTCCCTGTGATAATCTGAGCACCTAAGTGCACTTAGCCAAAGGAAAATGTAATGATCAAGACCATGCATGTTGATTTGTGCCTTCGGATGACATGGTTAAAGTATACAGAAATTCTGTTTTAGCTAGATGTTCATGCCGAGAGTTTAGTTTGATTTTGTAGCTTGATTGGGTTTAAGTTTGATAACCTGAGCATGAAATGTTGTATATCTCACTGGATCTTGGATGATCATTATGATTAGGACCTTGCATGATCAAGTCATGTAGTCGGATGAAGAAAAGAAAAAAAAAAAAAAAACTTAGGAAATTTTGTTTTGAAGAAAAAAGTTTCTGCCGAGAGATAATCTGGATAATGTAGCTTCATTTTGGTTTAGTTTTCTGTTTTGGAGCCTCTAACCTGTATTAACTAGTAAATGTCAAGATGATTAAGCTAGGCATGGAGTTAATTAGTTAGTTGAACCAGAAAAATAAAATCTAAAGTGTAACCTGTCGCATGCATGTTCATCTCGTGACCAGCTGGACAAATTTCTGGATTCTTGGATATTGGAAGTGTTATTTGAATTCGAATTCTAAACCAGAAATGCTAAATAGCTAGCCAAAAGTGCACAGGATGAATTTGAGCTCCTAATATCCGGCTTAACCCAGGGAAAATCTGGTATTAGAACCATTTGTATTTCTGGAAATCTTGAGAGAAGCCGTGAGGTTTAAACCTGGAAATTTTGGGGTTTGTAACCATGGTTTAAATTCAACTCTTAAACCGGAAATGTTCATTGTCTTGCTATGTGATTAAATGCTGAATTTGAGTAACTAACACCATGATTAAACCAAGGGAAAAATTTGAGCTAAAGTAGATGAGTTGCTGGAAAATGCGGAAGCCGCAAGGTGAACTAGAAATTCAGTTTATTCTTGGAAGTTTGATTGATTTCTAGAATTTATTCTTGGAAACGCATGGAAAATGTTGATGTTAATGATTGTGGTTTGACCTATTGTGTTCCTGAAATTTTCAAAGAATTAGATGGTAAGAAGGTACTTGCTAAACGCATGCTTAAGTTTGGCTAGTGAAACAATTTCTACTCGCATTCCAATGACTGAAAAACTAATGGTTGAAATTATTTTTTTTCTTTTTCATTGGGGCAGAATGTGTTGAAATTATTGACAGTGGGCTCTATGAATTCCCACACTTGGATTTGTGGTTGAATTGTTGAAATTGTTTAGAAAGCTGTATCACCATTTGGTGAAGCGGTGAGTTGGTATAAGTGCTGTATACCAAGTGCTAAGTTTTGATTAAGCCTTGGTTAATTTTTCTGCGTGAGCTTGGAAATATATTTGTTGGAATACAGGGATAATATTTGAAGGAGCCTTAGTGTTATTATTGTTTAAGATATGATTGTGCCATGTTGAGAAATTGTGAATCCTAATGAGAATCGAAGCTATGGATTTAGCACTGACCAGGTGAATCCAAGCAAATACTCGACTAAGTAAATGAAAAATATTTTGCTCTAGTTTTGCACGATATAGTTTCAATATCGCCCGATAAAATCTAGTATTTAGTATTTTGCTTTAAACTGGGGCAACGTGAATCTTCTTCCTTGAATTAAACTAACTTTATTAATTCAAGAAAATGACTTTTCTAGATATAACACCTTAGTTTTGTTTAAATTCTTTCTTCCTTATAAATGTTTCAAGTCTAGTTGGACACAAGAAAAATTTAAA